ATCCTTATAATAATCAAAGAGAAATCATCGAACAAGAAAAGCAAGTAGTCGACAAAAGAGATAACGAGCTAGTCGACCTTAGTTCGTCTATACAAGTGAAGTTGAAGACTTAGAGAATTTGGGTTATTTATTCACAATAAGGGTTGATGTCGAAAGAAGAAGTTATGGGCGGGATAGATTTTGAATTTTGAATATTGCAGAGGTTGCAAGAAGTTTTTTTGAATCAAGGCACCAACTACGTGGCTAAGTCTTAGGAGGCAGTTTTCTATTAAGCCACGAACGTGTCAACTTAGTATTTTATTGAACTGCATATTCAGTTATATCGTAAATACTATAAATAAGAGGGTCCAATGTAGGATTCAGGGTGTTCACTTTGTACTAAAATCACTTGTAAAACTTCATATTTCCAAACATAAGGAAGCAAAAGGTTCAAAAGTGTGAATGTACATGAATCACCATATTTATTTCAATGCAAAGTCCTTTCTTTTCAGTTTTATCCTTTAAATTTTTTACTTGTATTCTATTTACTCTTGATAAATCCTTTTACATCGTCAATTACTTTATTGAATCTCATTCTATCACAATACTTGAATTCACCGAGAATTCGCTCGACACTTACTTCGTCTAAGAGAAGTCCTAGCCTTCTGTCAGTCACGAGTCACCTTCAGTCGGTCAGTTTAGAGCATATTTATGGAAAACTTTTACTTGTTCTATTTGTTTAAAGGAAACCATCACTCACAAAGGCTCCGTGTCGACATAACAAGTCCCGTCCATTAGCAGATGTCTTAGGATTAACTAGTCGATCCTGCGAGTAACCCTTAATTTTAGACCTAGGGAGGACTAGTAGTTGTTTACTAATTTCCACAGTAAACAATGTGATAATAGATGTTTATGTAATAACAAATATCTCAAGAACAAAGATCATTTATGTGATAACAAAGATATATGTCTGATATTATTGGTGCATTATGTGTATGTGATGACATTGGTGAATTCAGATTTTAATATTCTGACAAATCCTGAACAAATTGATGATGTATTCTATGTAGTGATAACATAGGTGAATTCAGATTTCAATATGCTTTTATGTTGTGTATTGTGATAATATGGGTGAATATGAATTTCAATATAAAGACAAACTCCTATAACAAAATGCTTGTGTGTTCGATCCATGTGATAACAAAGAGTGAATATGGGTTTCAATATCCAAACATATTTTACTTATATATTGGTGTGGTTATGGTGCGTTTTGATTCTAATTTTCAAATTCTAAGTATTTTCAAAATTTCATCAATGTGGGTGGGTGAGTAACGTATAATATGAAACGAACAATCCCCATAAAATAATTCTTAGATTCTTTTTTATTTCCTTTCACCAAATGTAAACAAAAGCCTATATTTGGTTTCAAAAAGGAGTAGCGGCAACTCGTTGTCCGCTTGTCTTCTAATTTTGTATTGATATAATTATTATTAGGATTAAATATGCTAGGGGTCCCTATAAATATGCGACCCTTCAATTTCGGTTCCTCTAAATTTTTTCTTTGAATAATGGTCCTCTTAAAATTTTTTATCCATATTTTTTGATCCTCCTGCAATTTAGCTACGAGTTAGCTACGAATTAGTGATAGTTTTTTACTTAGCAACTAAAATCGTAGTTAAATCGTAGCTAAACGGTAACTAAATTGCAGGAGGATCAAAATATGATGACATAAAATTTTAAGAGGACCATTATTCGAAGAAAAATTTTAGAGGGACCAAAATTGGAGGATCACATATTTATAAGGACTAAAAACGTATTTAACCCTTATTATTATATTTAAAGTGACAAAGTTGTCAAAAAAAGTTAGGTGTCTGACATGCTATGATCAATTGAGACATAATGTAAGTCACTAGTTGACGACAACAATAAAAAATCTAATATAAAAGTAGTTGAGTTTGAGATATTTTTCCACCCTAATAATCAATATCTCCAATTTTAATACTCTAATACCCAAATTCTCCCTGTTTTCTAATATATCTATGTTTCAAATAAAAAAATCAAAATCGTACAAGACACTTAGTACGAATTGACATCTACACTCTAAATATAGAGGACACTTAAGTCCAATTGAACTTCATAGCAAACACATGAATTTTCAACGAGATCTATAAGATAAATATAACTTCGAGAATGTAAAACCAATGACTACTTTGATCAAGAAAGTCGTAACCAACAGCGTAAACAAATATTCCCTCACATGTGTGAACATTAGGAGGATTTGATGTGAGGTGTTTGATTGGATCCAAATTCATCATCATTTGCCTAAAGCTTGGGAGGGTGAACTTGAGTGGATCACCAAGAGTTGCAAAGGTAAAGGGTGAAGAGCATGTTTGTTTAGACTTGCCATTGCTGAAACTATTTATGGTGCTTGGATATATCGTAACAATGTTTGTTTTGGTTCGGAATTGGATTTGAATCATGTGATCAAAACTATCATAGATAACATTGTTTTTAGGGGATGGCATTATAAAGCTTTGCAAGGTAGGATTATTAGATTAATGCTTCCTTAGTTTCATTTATCATTTTGATTGGCTGGATCCTTGTGATCGCCGTGTATCCTTATGTTTTTTGGTATAATACAAGTCTTTATTCCAAAAAAAAAATTATTTTATTAATTAATAATTTGTTATATATGTTATATTAATTGTTAATAACTAAAATATCAATAATAAAAAATAGACTACTTAGAACCAAATGGCACCCCTATAGACATAGGTGCTCGCGCCAACGGGATGTAATTGTCCTTCAAAATGGTTAAAGCAAATGCCAATGCAAATGCATATTAAGTCTCTTTTTCTTGTGACTTTTTTATTTGAAACATGAGAAGATAGAAAAATGGGGATTTTTTAATGCATCTTATAACTTTTTAGTGTATTACGCGAATTTTCTTAAATGCCTTTAGATTTTGGAGATAGATCTCTGGAATACATCCAGAATGTGATAAAACACAAAAAAAATCGAAAATATATTTATGGTATCAAATCAGTATTATATTTCTAGAAAAATTCATTACATAATGCAGTAAAAAATAAAAACACAAATTAACACTCAGAAATTAACCAGAAATGTATTTACGGGAGGTTCCATAGTTGTATCTTTGATTCGTGTTATCACATAAGTGTGCACTGCCACTTCCCCTTCCCCATTTTCAGAAAACATTTGAACAGAAAAACAATATAATCTAAAAACCAAACCCTCTCAAACCTCATTGTGTCATAATCATCCTATTTTATGAAAAGCTCATTAGGAATTATCAAGCATCAGATAAATTTCAGTGTTCAAGCAGATTCAATCAACAAAAATCATCATTTATAAGTTTTTTTTGAGTTTTTTGGAGTTACTGTAATTTCACCTAGAAATTGTGTTTTAGGCTACATAATTCAAGTTTTTTTTAGTGTATGCAAGCTTAGGAGTCATAATAAATATGTTAGGTATATTTTTTTTATGATCAATGATTGTTTTTTAAGGTCATTAGTGTTCGGCTTCGCCATTGACAAAGCTGATATGTCGCAGGTCGTACCAGAGATGTATTTTCGATTTTCTTCAATGTTTACATCAAAAATCAGAAATGCATATCTGGTTTTAGTCTGTCTGCATTTTTCTATTTTTTTGAACATGAGCCATTTTGTTAATGTTTGTTTCGTACTTTTACAATGAGTAATGGATGAGAGACCATCTAGGTTGAGACATGGCAGACTTGCACAACATGCTTCTGTGTGGAGGGAAATGAGTCAGACATCCCAGACTCCTTCTGCCTCTGGACAGGATGTGTCAGATGCGCCTACAAGTTCTGGTGTTCATGTTTCTACTCCTACTTCATCGTCCTCCCGCAATAGGCGAGGTTCTCCAACTTATCTCTCCCCGCCTCCATCTTCCTATAGACACACTTCCTTATCAATGGTATTTGAGGCATGAGAGACATCAGCTTCACAGCCGATACCTGAGACCGCTTAGTCTTTGAGGATTTACACTTTCATACATATGTAGATCACCGTGAGACAATTCCCTTTGACGAAATTGTGTTGTACTCGAGATGATTGGCAGGCGGGTCGCACAAGACGACTGCTCATCTGTATGAGCGCGACATATATATATATATATATATATATATATATATATATATATATATATATATATATATATATATATATATATATATATATATATATATATATATATATATATATATATATATATATATATATATATATATATATATATATATATATATATATATATGTATATGTATGTATGTATAATAAAAAAAAAAGTGCGTTTCGAAAATATATTTCTGAAAACGCAGAGACAAAATTGAGTTTTCATATAATTCTTTTCAAGTATATGTGGTGGTATAAGAAATCCCGTTGAAAAATATTAGGGAAATATGGGTAGATTGGAATCAAAGACAAGAAAAGTGGTTATTGGTGTAACAAAAATCTGAGTTTGATTCTCTTTTATGTAGCTCTAAAATTTTATTAATTATTTATCTAAATTACTAGATTAGTTTTACTACGAGAGAAACAAACTTTGTTGTTCGCTTGCCTGTTCCCAAGTTTCTAATTTGAGTCAAATTTCTCTAGGGTGTAGTAGTTCCCAAGTTTTTAATTCAATGTGTGAATAAAAGCTCAAACAAAATCCAAAAACACACAATTGATAAAATGATTATATTGATCTAGCACGAACGTGAAAATTACACATTACCATACTAGTGTTTAATAGGAATGGTTGCCCATTTTTGCAAAACATATTCTGCCCTTATTGAGATCATTAAAATAGGATTCACAATATTGGCATGCATAATAGTTATTATCAATATATTTTATATATAATATATACGGCTATGGTAATGGTATACAAAACCATTAACATTACCATATGAAAATGGCACAACATAGTTACCAATGATTTTATAACCTCACCAGTCACCACCTCTCCTTCTCCCATTTCATGAACTAAATGACTTAAAGTTTGACGTGATTAATTAACTCGTTCATGATGCCCAAACAATTACCACCCAACTGAAATAGAGTTTCAGAATCCTGAGAAAATGGCATGTTAACACCAGGAGACTCCACAAAAGCATCATCACAGGAAGATTTGTATGATATCACAGCATTGAACTTGTAATACGCATCAACAACATTTTGTTGTTGAAGTAAATCCACTGCCTCCTTGATTGTATCCAACATATAACCATATTGTGAATGGCATATGTCAAGGGCATCGAGGGCCTTTTTATCGGTGCTAGGGTCTTGAAGCAACTTTTGAATGGTACCAGCTACGGTCTTGGCTTGGACGAGGGTGGCATCAACCTCGATCTCAAGTGCCTTGAGGGGATCAAAAGGACCGTTCATTTGTTTCAAAATGGTTTCAGCACAAAGAGCTACGTTCTCACCGTCAATACATAATTGCATGATCTCGGGATAGGCTCGTTTGGAAGCTCTGGCTGCTATGTCTCCTAGCAAGGTGGCACCAGACTGTGATGCTTGATCTAGAATAAAGTTACCTTCTTGCAGGTTGTCGCCAGAGGCAATAACGCCGCTTGAAGGGGCTGCAGCTGGGACACTTGTGGAAATGTAATCAATACGGCGGCTTGAAGGGGCTACAGCTGGGACACTTTCGGAAATGTAATCAATACCGCGGCTTGAAGGGGCTACAGCTGGGACACTTTCGGAAATGTAATCAATAACGTGACTTTTGTGACCTGTAGCTGCGAATCTTGTGGAAATGTAATTGATAAAGCGAGTTGAAGGGACGGCATTGGTAGATAGAAGAAGAGAAGAGAGGGATAGGATGACAATAAGGCTTTTAATGAATCTGGAACCCATTGTCTCTTCTCTTTCAGAAAATATTCTCTTCAGAAAATATTCCAAGAGCAGAGACAACGGGAGACAGGGCAACTCAGGTTGTAGCATGGAGAACTATGTGCCTGCTGGGGTTTTTATTGTGCACAAGGAAACAGAATTTCCACTCAATTTTTGGCAACTTTTCCGTTGTTGATTAATGGTTCTCATTAGAAGCAGCATAAAAATAGCAACTCGAAAGGTTGGTATCCTTGTGATAGTAATTGTCATCCTCACAATACTCATAACCTTACAAAATGACTTGGTAAACTAATGGCCCTAATTATTCTTTATTTTTTCTTAATTATAAAAAAAAAACCTTTATTTTTTCTAACGTTTTTAGAGATAAAATTATGATTGAAGTTTTATAATTAAATAATCATGACTCTTTTATAACTAACATTTCACTTGCATTGCATATTTGGCTATATAATTTAATGACATATAGATGTAGGAGATAAATAGAATTATATATTTGTACCCAAAAAAATAGAATTATATATATTGTGTTGTGTTGATAATTTTGTTTCAATAATTTGAATCAATTATAAATTTATAGTGTTGATAATTTTTTTAAAATATTTTAATCAATAATAAATTTATAATTCTTTAAAGTAGACCATATTTTTGCCATTGAGCCAGAATTATAGTATCACCTAGAGAGGAGCTAAAAGGATTTTAAGGTCAAGTTCACAATCCTAAGGGAATATATCTAGTCTAGTTATTATCATATGGATAAATAAGGAACCCGATTTAGCCCGCCACCCATGAAGAATTTTAGAAGAAAATTATAAGGATAGTATACGGATTTTTTTCATTTTAATTAAAATTAAATATTTTTTGAAGCCAGTCTTTGAAACAAGGTAACAAACTACAATGCACATATGTACCAAGTTTTATCCACATGGAACTACTTTCACTTAGAGGAGAATAGGATTGTGCTTTCCCGTGGAGGATGGCAAAAATGACAACAGAAGAATCCCTTTCCTAGCCAACCACCAACAACACTTTTTAAATTTTAACCTTCATTGCATGAAAATCCTACCGGCTATGGTTCCATCCAGCTTTGGCCATGAGAAAGAAAAGATCTCTAGATTATGATGCAAAAACCTTTGGATTGTGTGCAGATTCGCAGTTAGCTTGCATTTCAATCTACATTCATCGTCCTTCATGAAGATCTTCAGAGAAAACAGCTGTCCTAGAAATGCTTTCATAGTCAAAGGCACTTAGACCAGAGTGAGGACCAGAAGAAAACAATGAAGATGTCCCATCGGAATCATAAGCGGTAGAATATTGTCTCAGGTTAGGCCTTGTATTGGATGACGGTACTGCATGATCGTGATTTTCAATGATGTGCTGCACCATTTTAAGTGACTGTACCACTTCACCCATTGTAGGTCGTTGGCTTGCTTCAGGTGCAACACAGGCTGCAGCGATAGTGCAAACCCGGACAAAATCTTCCTTCGGATACCTTCCCCCAAGCCTTGGATCAGCAAGTTCTTCTAACCGCTCCTTATCTCTAAGAATTGGCCTTGCCTGAAAACATAACTTGGTAAATTATTTTCTATCTAATGTAAACTACAAAGGATGGATTTACTTTCAATCATTTAGAACAGAAACCAGATTGAAATGCTTGAGTTTGAAATGAACTCAATGAGAATAATGAAGGAACATAAAGTTATGAATCTAACCCAAGTTACAAGATTCTCTTGCCCAGTTGGCTGTGACATTTCCACAGGTTTCTTTCCGGTCAACAGTTCTAGCAAGACAACCCCGTAGCTATAAACATCGCTTTTAACAAGTAGGTGTCCAGTCATGGCATACTCAGGTGCTACATACCTGCATAATAGTTTCATTTCGTCTGAAGTCTTAACTATAATCAAAATAAAAAGTGAAAGAAAGAACATAATGAAACTTACCCAAATGTGCCCATGACTCGAGTAGACTGGTAATTAACTCCACCTTCATGTGCTAGTTTAGCTAGACCAAAATCAGCAACTTTAGCATGAAAATTGTTCTCAAGCAATATATTAGATGCCTTGAAATCTCTATGTATGACACATGGCTGTGAATCTTCATGCAAGTAAGCAAGCCCTCTTGCCGCATCAAGTGCAATCTTCATCCTGGTGTCCCAATCCAAAGGGCAGTTTATTCCCAAGGGACCTGAGGGGAAATCAGGGCTAACTTCAATAAGCATTATGAAATATTTCTGAAAATAACTATCAGTGGTAACAATAGACACACAAAGCAGATAATTCAAGATTAAAAAACTGACCCCATTATTTGAGAAATTACATTACCATGAAGCCAGGCCTCTAAACTTCCATTTGGGACAAGTTCATAGCAAAGTAGGTTTTGTGATGAGTCAGGATTGCTATAGTATCCAACTAGTTTTACAAGGTTACGGTGATGCAACCGGCTAAGCATCTCAACCTCAACCAAAACCTCTTTGTCACCCTGCTGCCCTCCGTTAGTAAGCCTCTTAATTGCAACAGAAGTTCCATCATTCAAAACACCTTTAAAAACTCTACCAAAACCTCCTTCTCCAAGTACGCTTGCTGATTCAAAATTTTTTGTTGCTTCTCTAAGATCTTCATAAGAAATAAAACGTGTACTGGTTGGGTAAGAAAGTGACCCAACAGATGAAATTGCATGTTCTACCCTTGGCTTTTCTGTTGGAAATAAATCAAATGTCAGTAGTATAGAATGTGTAGAATGCCATATAATTTACAGCTGAACAAGGAAATAATCGTGTGTGTGTGTGTGTGTGTGTGTGTGTGTGTGTGTGTCTATCAATTGTAGTCCAGTCTAAAGGATAAAATTGTATGCTAAACCAAGTTTCATGATCAATCATAAACATTAGTACATGTTAATATTAAATTCTAAAAAATTTCTCAAGTAATCATCTGCTTCGGAAATGCCTGTGATAAACAAAAGCAATTAATTTGCTTCAGCAAACTTTGTATCTTATAAATTCTGTGCCAGAAAGTAGTTTTTCTTTGGAAAGGAACCCAATTTGCCTCGATTTAACTGTTACACTTACTGACTTTATGATATCTAAATCAAGAAAGGAGGCCAAAATAGAAAGGCAAAAATGAACACACACACAATAGCAGTTAGAACTAGAATACTTGCCAGTTTCTGTAGGAGGTGTTTTTGTCTTTGGCCTGAGCGTGCATAAACAAAGTATAAGTAAACACATAATGGAAATGATGAGTATCCCAGTAACAATTCCAAGGATAACAACCAAATTTGAATGCCTTCCCCTGTCTGAAGGACTCAATGATGTAGCTGTAAGTTCTTGTCTCCCAGGAGTTTTCACAGTTGATGCAGCAAAAGCAGGAGCTGCAGTAGAATACAATGATACATTATCATATATAAATGCATATATATTGATTCTTAGACCCACAACCATCAAGGGGCCCACCCCCTTAATGAAGTACATCATTGCTATTACCTCTTCTAAAGCTTTGAATGACCAAAGAAACTAACAGCAATGGGTAATGTAGCTATAAAACTAAAGATAATTCATTGAATTTGCTATATAAAAATATGGCAACAAGGAAGAATGGCATACAGGCGTTAACATGTTTGTAATGATGAAATCTCATATACATGGTGCAAATCCATCATGGCTAAAATGTTCAAAGTAATGCTATGACATAAAGGTCTAGCTTTGTACAGACAGCATCAAGACTTAAATTTCATAATGGGCAATGTTGCATAGGATTTTCATGGGCAACAAAATTATAAGATTTGGGTTTGCAGGAAAAAGTCAGACCGAGTTAAGAAGCCATGATGAGCAAACAATGGATTAGACCCCATAGCCATCATTGTATATTTTCCTTTCCTTCCTTACCGCTTAGAAGTGACAATGAAACAAACAAATGAACAAGAAATCTATATACATTAAAGCAATGAAGTCTGACTTGTTAAAACATTAAGATCACATATATAACAAAGGTTTCAATACCAAGTAAAGAAAAACATTAGCTATTTATTTTCTGTACAACAATCATCTCACTGTAAGTTTTCTCAAATATCAAAAACACCAAAGCATCACGAACTGTAGTGACATATTTCAGAAGTTCCGGAGTCTATATATACCTTTTGAAGGAGGTGGAGGTTTAAACCAAGTCAAATTGAGAACCTCATAGTCACCCACAAATCTACTGTCTAGTCTAACCTTGTGAAATATAAGTGAAGACTTCATTTTAGATGCTTCATAGGCAGAGAAACTCATATCTTTTTCCGGAGTAATATACATCGACATATTCAATGTCGATAAGCTGTGTACATAAAAGTTTATCAGTTCAATTTGGGTAGCCCGCATCCCCAATTGTTCAGCCAATTGATCAAGAAAAAGATTCCATTCAGGGTTTTGCGAGACATTCAAAAGAAGAAGGTCTAACTTTAAAGGATAAACGCAACGAAAGCCCTCACTACCTCGTTTCAATACCATGTCTTTTTTACAATAATCTGGTTAGATAAAATAAAGCATATTAAATAATATAGCAATGAAAATTTACATCAGCATATTCTTAACCAAAAGTGTGATGGCTTAGCCTTACTGGAAAGATAAGAGGACAATGGGGGGTGAGCCATAACAGAAGGAATTTGTGTAACTGGAAAATCACAGTCAACTACTAACACTGTCCTGCATAATATTAACAACAGAAGCAATGTTTTCAGCAAAATGCACTGAAAAATTCCCAATCCACCTGCATGAATTGAAAAATTACTGAATCAGCATAACATGCAATGAGGGTTTAAGAATGGTTAATGTGATGAAATTGAAAAGTATGATTACCGATTAAGGAGATGGAAAGCGTGAAGTTCGACATCGGTGATTGTTGGATGAGATTGATCTAAGGGGATTTAGATGAAATCAAGGAAGGAAATTGAGGAATTTGAATTGGGAAAGTGAAGTGCATGCGTGCTTAACTTAGTTGAGTTGAGTTGAATAGTTGGGAAGAGTTTGATGT